GGTGGATGCTGGTGGTATGGCAGTAAAGACTAAACTTTCCCAATTGTGTTCCATTACACGCTGTTGCTGTGTGAGAGATGGCAGCAGAGAGGCAATCTGACTGACAAAAGTCATCTGACATGGGAGTATGTGTATGAAGCAAAGGTGTGTCACCGGATTTATCCATGTAGAAAAATTGTTGCGCACTGACTGCAAATCTATGGAGACCAAAGAACAAATTTTAGCACAGTGAAACAATAGGTATTGTATTTCAGCAGTGGTGAGTGTAGGGCACCTCTGCTGGTGTAGTTGTTTTGTTTTGTTTTTGAGTGGGTCATTCAGCCTCTTGTTTATTGCTGGCAAAAGTGCAGTGAATAGCTAAGAGTAGTGACTGTTGAAAACTAATGTTTTGCAGCTGAGAATTTGTTCTACCAAATATTGTTATTGTGATCTTGTAATAGTATCTGTAAAAAGTTTTCATGGAAATAAGAAGCATTACTTTCAGAGCAACCTACTTAGTTCTTGTTTTCTCTGACCTCCAAATTTTGTGTGTAAAATTGCAGCACAGTAGCTGAGCATATTCTTCACCAAATACAGGAAATGTGGCCTAGGGCACTGTGAGAAATGGCATTTCTCACAACTGAATAGGGAAATAACTCTGTGCACAATTTTGTTAATGAAGTATAAGCAATTCAGTGGAAACAGGGAAAAAATAAATACTATAGAGTTAATCGGCCTCTCAGAATTCTGTGTTTCCAGGGTGTAGTTGGAGTTTTGGAGTTGGTTATGAAATGAGGCATATAACTAAGCCTTGAACAATGAGGAAAAACTAAATATAAAGTAGATGCTCATTAACACTCTATTATCAATTGTCAGTCTTGAATAGAGAATACCTTTGGGGGAAAGAAATGCATGCCCTTGTGCAATAAAGGAGTATGTAATGAAGCTGAGGTACAGCAAGAGGATCTCAAGCTGAACAGACCACAATTTCATCAGTTGTTTTAACTCTCCTTTTACTTAATTAGTCTGCAGTTGTATACTGCACAACAAAGAAAGTATAATTATTGAAGTTTGGAAGGAATTTCTGGAGGTAAACTAGTCCAACCTGCTCATCTGCTCTAACTTAAACAAGGCCAATCAAGAATTATGTGGTCTTGTCATGCTGTAATAGAGTTGAAATCTCCCCTTCTGAAGTCTAGAGCTGTTATTCTACTTTTTGTCTTGTTCAGTTATCTTGTTTCAAACTCCATAAAGTCAGCTGTTACAGTCAAATAGAAGCATTCAATAAAATCTTTGGGTTTTTAAAATATTTTTTTCCTAATTGATAGCTCTGTAGTAATAACTCTGATAATCCTTCCTTCCCAGTTTTTACTTAATGTCTGTACTTCATGTTTAGCCTACTCTCACTATTCTGTTCATATTCCTGGGGAAAATGTTTTTGGCATAATGTTGACATGCTGTCAGCTTCCAAACAAGGCAATGCACATCCTGACTAGCCTCAGAGAAGGGAAGGGGATATTGATGTAACCAACAAATAGTTGTGCATTCATAGATATACACACATAGATAATTAGGCCAGCTATTATTATGCAAGTAGCTTTGATATGGACAATATCAATTATTTCCACCCCCCCCCGCTCCCTTTCCAGTACCTGACAGTGGCCTACAAGAAAGCTGGGGAGCTTATATAAGGGAGCTATAAGGGCATGTAGTGACAGGATGAGGGGAAATGGCTTTAAACTGGAAGAGTGTAGATTTAGACTAGATATCAGGAAGGTATCTTTACTGTGAGGGTGGTGAAACACTGGAACAGGTGGTCCAGTGAGGTTGTGAATGCCCCCCTCCTGGAAGCATTTAAGGCCAGGGTGGGGTCTTAAGCAACTTGGTGTAGAGGGAGGTGTCTCTGCCTATAGCAGGGTGGTTAGAACTAGATGATCTCAAGTCCCTTCCAATCCACGCTATTCTCTGAATAAGAAAACAACTGCAAGCCATCAGCTTTCTGTTATCAGGTTAACTTAGCTAGCGATCTTTTGGTTGTTGTCTGATTGTACTGAATATCATCAAGATAAGCCTAGAAATGAAACCTTTCTCTTTAAGGGGAAAAAAGAGCTCTCTTAATCAGTTAAGTCCCGTGACAGGCCTATGAAGACATAATTGGTTATAATTGGCATTCACAGGAGCTCTGACATGCTCTACCTGCATTGAAATGGCTCTTAGAGAGGCAACAAAATCATCTGTCTTTCTATAAATACTGCAGAAGTTTCTCTTTGCATATAAACCTGCTTGGAATTCAAGTGAGAATAGTTTGGAAAGCAAATCTTAATCCATGAGTTCATTAACAATAAATAAACTCATCTTGCTTTACTTAGCTTGAAGGAGGGAAGATTTAGGTTGGATGTTAGGGGGAAGTTCTTCACAAGAAGAGTAGTTAGGCCCTGGAACGGGCTGCCCAGGGAGGTTGTGGATGCCCCGTCCTTGGATGTGTTCAAGGCCAGGTTGGACGGGGTCCTGGGCAACCTGATCTGAATGTGTACGTTTGGTGGCCCTGCTAGGCAGGGGGGTTGGAACTACATGATCCTTGAGGTCCCTTCCAACCCGGGTGATTCTGTGATTCTGTGATTAGCGAACTGCTGTGCCTTGTTTTAGTCTATAATGCAGCACACAACTTTAAGAACAAGCTAATGAATTGAAGGAGGATATTTGTTACGTAGTTTATGGTGGGCAGTTGATTTCTCAGACCATGGCAGAACCTATAGATAATTACCAGTCATTGCCAACTAATTTGATGAGTTAACATATACAGTTGTGGGATGGGTTTTAAAACAAACTTAAGAAAGTATTTTATATGTATTTTGCATGTGATACGTTCCCCATCTTGAGTCTAAAGCTGAATCAACAGAGTTCAGTCTGTAGAATTAATCTTTTTGAAAATGAAATTGTGTTCAAAGTTCCGTTACGCTATTGTGTTCTTCTAACTCAGAAGAGGGAAATTTCTTGTTTCACTATGACTTTAGACACATTTGAGTTTACCGATGGTATGTTTTGGTATGTATGCGTATGATGGGAATGTGGATACATTTTCACTGTCATTGAGTCAGCTATTTATAAATTTTCCTTCTATGTGCTTGAGTTTTTGCTCCCCTGGTAATATGTGTTGAGATTTCTAGAAGAAGCTTCTTAAATGAGGGCAAAGTGTCAATTATTTCCACTAATATGTAATATTCAGCTTTAGAGGCACTGTGGCTTTATGGGTAAGTGCAGAGATGAAGAGTAGAGTGTACAATACAGTTTCTGCATCTAACTATGCTTGTTCTCTTCAGGGTTACTTGATGCACGTGGCTGGTTTGTACACTTGGGGGGATTAAGAATAGCATTAGTTGTGGTTTCTCTCTGACCAAAAATTGTACCCAGTTTTCCTGTACTTCCTGCGGTTTCACTTCCTGCAGTTCTCATACTTGATGCTTAAATGAGAGCTGAGTGGTTTGGGTTTCTGTTTTGTAGCTTCTGAGCTTCTGAGGTTGTTATAGTACTTACAAACTCAGGTGCAGTTGGTAGCTGGTACATTGAGACACATTTCTGACCCACCTGAAATTTTGGATGTAGGATGGCAATTTTGGTTGTGTTTTCAAAGAGGCTCAGAGGCTGGGTCATAAAAATCCTGCTCGTAACTTGCAGTGTTGAGTACAACTGAGAAAGTGGTTTCTGAATACTTCTGCTTCTCAGCTTCTTTATCTGCAGTGGAAATTCCTCACTTGTATGTCTTACTGTGCTGAGATTGCTCATTGTCAATGTGGAGGACAGCGTCCAGCTTTGTGAAGGTTTTCTGTTGTCCGAATAAACCAGGAAAAAAAAAAACTTTAACAAATACAAAACAAAACACAAGGTGAAGGAACAAATTTCCAAGCTAACTGTAAAGAGAAATGGTGCTAGAAACACCTGTCGTAGATATCCAAAAGTCTTTTAAATATTTTTGGAAAAACTCCTCAGCTATGAATAGTCTTCAACTGAAGACAAGACAGATTCCAAGAGGCCAAATATTCCCTTCAGATCCCCAAATGAAACTAAATCCCATGTTTCCGAAACAATTTCTGATTGGGATTTTTTTCTGTAGTTTTCTCTCCCTCACCCTTCACAAGTGTTGTGTTATCGAGCACTGTCTGGGATGATATTAAGCACTAATGGAATCAATAATTCTTGATAAGCTCTTCACTTTATCTCAGACTGCTTGCCTTTATTTAGGAACTGAAATGCCTTTCATTAAGAACCTGAAAATACACTTCAGCAGGTTTCATACAGTAAAAAGGCCTGGAGTGATTTATACCAAAAGCAGATGGTTGCTTATTTGTTTGTGATTCTTCCACTGTTACGCATGTAGGAGCATTAGGATATTCTGAATAACATACGTACATGTTTGCAAATATTTTCAGTAAGTAATCCATCTTTTGTCCATGTTCATGTGAGGGACACACCTTCCACAAGGAAGAAATTGAGTTTTTGTCACAGACTCTAACAGTTCAAGCCTAATGGTGAAGGAACAGATATATTTGTCTGATTTTTAAAAAGCTTCAACTTAATACCTTCTTGTATTAGAAAAAGTCTAGTCTAGCATTCCAGAGTTATGGCTCCTTGAAGGGAAACTTGTGACTTTATAGAAGGAAGAATGCATGTAGTAAGCAGGAGAGGGTAGTCTAAGTAACCATTTTGTGCACCTTAAGATGCATGTTATGAATATCAGAGAGCTCACAATGTCATTTGTCACAAATGAGGATTTAGTGTACATTGTCTCAGTTTTTACCAGCCAGAGTGTGGAAATATGTTTTCATCATCCACTTAATTTTCCTGATTCCTTCTATGTGCTGTCAGTAGCATGGTCAGTGGAATATCTTGGTTTTTACCAAGTTAACTAATGAAAGCATATGTTTGTGTATACTCCTTCTAGAAGCCATAGAATTATTTTCAGAGTATACAAATAAATGATGTGTGTAATTAATGCTTTTGTCTCTGAATTTTCTGTTTTCTAGCTGGTGCCACGTATATATTTGGGAAGAGTGGAGGCCTCATCTTGTACACCTGGCCAGCTAATGACAGACCAAGCACAAGGACTGACCGTCTTGCTGTGGGCTTCAGCACAACAGTGAAAGATGGCATTCTTGTACGGATTGACAGTGCCCCTGGACTCGGTGATTTTCTGCAACTGCATATAGTGAGTATAGCTAAACCAACATCTATGTCAAACCTGAATGTCTATCTATGTGTTTAAAGAAAACTATCATGATGAAATAAGGTATGTAATTCTCAGTTCTTTTTGTATCTTCAGTACTCACCAAATTAACCTGCCTTAGGTAGTCTTCAGGGTTTGTGAAAATTGTCGAATGGGATGAACAGGGAGGTAAATCTTGGTGCTGGAAGAATGGGGAATGAGGGGAAGGCCTTATAGCATTCAGTAGCAATAGAATGTATTCAAGAACTGTAGAAACAATGTAAATATAATTTCACTAATATTTCTGAAATGTTGGTGGACTATTGCTATTCTCAGAAAGGAAAGAATGAAATGGAATAAGAATTTTTTCTCACTGAGGAAGTTAAGTAGAACTGACCACGTTCTTATCTGGTGTGGAGAGAGTCAATACAACTGACGTTTGCTATTGCAGGGTAGTTCCAAATAGCATGGCCTTGCAGGAATTATTTTTCTGTTGAATGCAAATATTAATGAAGAACATCTTCAGTGAAAATGGCTTTAGTGAAAGTTTGCATTTCTATGAGAAAATGAGACTAAAACTAGAAACCTTTTCAGCCTGTTTCTGTGTTTTTCCTTATAAGGTGGGGAGAGGGTTGGGGGCAAAACAATATTGGGTTTATTTTCCATTCTAAATAAGTAGTTAAGAAATTCACTAGAAGTAAATGCTAGTCATGTTGCTTGATGGTCATGTTTTCCATGTTGTATACATTAATTCATGTTGGAAGAAGAATGTGACATTTGCAGAGCTGCTGATATTTCATTGGAGATTAGAGAAGGTGTAAATAATTGTGAAGAATATCCCAGTACAATACACAGACCTAATGTGAATGATTGAAAGTCTTAATCTGGTACAGAGGAACTTAAAATGTTCAAAATCTTGTGGAAATGTAAGGAATATTGCAGAATGTTCCTGAAGTAAAATATAAGGCTTGCGCTCATTGCCAGCATTTCCTGTGGCTTTAGTTAGAATTTTGTTATAAGGCTCAGACATTTAAAATGATTGGAGTATGACTGGGAACCATTACACTGTCACCAGTTTTGGATCTCTTTTTGTGTTCTTTCTGAATGTTTCGTGTTTTGTGTTGGAATGAAAATAAAATCAAATCCTGGCATTTTCTCCTTTTTTCCCCAAAGAAATGCTTTTCTTCTTTCAAAACAAAAGCCAAACAAAACCAAAACCCACACTAAACAGCATTAAGTGGGTTGAAATTCTGTAGCTTCTCAAGCTAACGAGGTTGGACGTGAATGAAGAAGAAATTGTATTCTTCAGCTATTATAACGTATAAGACTTCTGTATTGTCTGTTAACTGGAAAACAATGTGCAAGGCATGTGAGCAGAGGTAGAAAGATGCAAGGTGGCTAGATCTTAGGAGGAAAAAAGGATCTTATTGCTGTTGGCTGCCTTCTGGGATGTTACAGAGAAAATGGAAGTCAGACTTGTCTTAAGGTAGTGCTCAATAGAAGGAAGAGGGAAAATGCACAGAACTACCAACAGGGAATTTGAATCTTTTATTGAGAACTTTTAACAATGAGAGTATGTACATAATGAGTTTTTTTCAGCATCAGTGACAAAGGTGCACAGTTTTTTTTCTCTGTAATTTGGTCTTTAGTATTTCCTCTTTCCTTACAGATGAGTCCAACAGAAATTTTTTTTGAATGGTCATCTTTTTGGCATTATCGGAGATCTAGAGACATTAGATACCTAAGCTATGAACTGTTGTTGGTGTTAGTGCTAAAAGTTCTCTTGGCCACTTCAAGTACAGTTTGGCCAATTTTATGTGTAAAAATACTCACTGGCAGCAAATACAGCAGTTCAGCTTTCTCTTGTGCTTTCTTAGACATGGTGAATTAGGAGGATTTGCCAGTTATTTGTGAATAGCAAAGGTATGTTGCTGTGTTTTTCTGTGTGGTATTCACCCTTATCATGTCTATTGTTGATAATACCAATGTTCAAATAGAAAATGTGGTCTGAGCCTCATGTCACTATATATACAATAGATAAGTTTGAACTTTAAAAATTGCTATTGGCTTCTTGAATATCTTTAAGACTTTGTTATTTCTAGTTTGTTATTTCTAGTTTATGTATAATTCAAGCATTTTATGTAAATTACTGAAAGCCACAGAACTGAGTTAACATCAAATTATTTTGGAAAAGGTTGAATACTGAAAGTTGCATCTTGACAACTAAAATGTGAGACTGTGTATGACGTTTTACTTTGCAAGACATATGCAAGCTTTCTGTGAGATCAGTCTTCCTGACTAACTGAAAATTACCACATGCTGTGTGCTGTTATGTTCAAAGGTGCTGTCCATCTTCTGTTTCTCAAGCCTTGTCCTTCCATTAGGCAGTCTTCCAGTGTCAAAATGTCATGGTTCTATGTTTTTTGTTTGGATAAGACAGTTCAAATGATGATTAAAAATACAGGAGAAATATATTTGTATATCAGGAAAAAGTTATGAAACTACATTAAACACAGGAGAAAGAATTAGAATTAAAATACGTATTAAATCAGGGAAAACCGATGTTAAATTAACTCATTTTATGCATTTTAACAAACTAACAAATTGGCTTTTGGGGAGGAATTCTTCTATTTATTTTAACTGATGGATGTTTTTGAACGAGTACTGGAGAGGCCTCTTTTTTTGGGGTCTTTCTGGTATGCCAGTCAGACCTTTATTTATAAAAACTGTTTTTTAAGGATAGTATCTACTGAACTCTGGCCTTCTCATTCTTCCTTAGCTGCTCTGTTGTTTATTATAGTTAACAAATTTCTTAGTGATCATTTTGTACTGTGCATTACTACACTAAAACAATCCAGTCATAGTATGGGTTGTATTGTATACAAATCTGGTACAATTTTAAAGGTTGTTAAAGGAACTTGTATTATTCTAGAGAGACTTCTTAATAGTTTCCATGATTTTTTTTTTTTAACACTGTGTATGTTTTGGAGCGTTCATTATAATCTTTCCAAGAGACAAAAAGGCAAAGAAGGTATCTTTTACAAAGACTTGGATATTGTTTAATTTATGATCTGTTTGGATTCATTTTAAAATTACTACTCCTTCAGACATTGTGGAAATTCATTAACTAAACTGTCTCTTAAATGACAAAAAATTACAACCTCTGAAACTACTTTCTCTCCTGATTTACAATGTAGAATAAGCCAGCAGCAATGGGAAAATAGATGGCATGCATTTCAGATCGATGTATATGAAGCATGAGGCGTTAGTGTGAATAGCTCTAACTGGATCATATAGTCTAACTCCCCTGCAATGAACAGGAACATTCACAGCTAGATCTGGTTGCCCAGAAGCTGGTCCAGCGTGACCTTGACTTGTCTACAGGAATGGGGCATCCACCACATCTGCTGGCAACCTGTTCCAGTGCCTCACCACCCTCACTGTAAAATACTTTTTTTTTTTTTTATGTCCAACCTAACTCTACCCTCTTTAAGCTTGAAACCCTTTCCCCTTGTCCTATTATAATAGATCCTTTAAAGAATCTGTTCTCTTCTTTCCTGTAGCTCCCCTTCAGGTATTAAAGGGTGACTATCAGGTCACCTTGGAGCCTTGTCTTCTCCAGGCTGAACAGCTCTTTCAACCTGTCCTTATAGGAGAGATTCCATCCCTTGGATCATTTTTGAGGCTTTTCTCTGGATGCAGTTGCACAGATCAGTGTGTTTTCCTCTACTGAGGACTCCACATCTGGATGCTGTACTCCAGGTGAGGCATCTGCCAGGCAGAGAGACAGGATCACCTCCCTCAGCCTGCTGTACGTGTTTCTTCTGATGCAGCCCAGGTTTGGCTTTCTGTCTGTAAGGGCACATTGCTGCCTCACGTCCAGCTTCTCATCAGTATCCTTTTTTTGATAGGCCTGACCTCAATCCTTTCATCTCCCACCTTGTATTGGTGGTGAGGGTTGCCTTGACCCAGGTACTAGACTTTGCACTTCAGTTTGCTGAATCTCATGAGCTTCACCTAGGCTAACTGTTCAAACCTGTCTAGGTCCTTCTGGATGGTATCCTGTCTCTTGGGTGTGTTGACAGCACCCTGCAGCTTGGTGTCATTAGTAAACTTGCTGAAGATGTAGCTGACCATGCTGTCAGTGTCAGTGAAGATTTTAAAGAATGTTGGTCCCAGCACTGACCACTGTGGGCACCACTTGTCATTGATCTCCATCCAGATATTGAGCCATTGACCACCACCCTCTGGGCTTGATCCTGCAGCCAGTTCTTTGTCCATTGAACAGCCCAGTCATCAAATCCATATCTTTCCAATTTTGAGAGTAGGCTGTTGTGGGGTACTGCGTCAAAGGCCTTATGAAGTCCAGATAGATGAGATCAGTGGCTTTTGCCTTGTCCACTGGTGCAGTTACACCATCATAAAAGACCTCTAGGTTGGTCAAACAGGATTAGCCCTCAGTGAAACCATGCTGGTTCTCCCATATCACTTCTCTATCTTCTACATGCCTTAGCATAGCTTCCAGGAGGACTTGCTCTGTGATCTTTCCTGGCCCTGAGGTGAGACCGACAAGTTGGTAGTTTCTGAGGGCATCCTTTTTACCCTTCTTAAAAATGGCTGTGATGTTGCCTTTTTTTTCCAGTCACCGGGGGCTTCACCTCATTGCCACTACTTTTTAAATATCTTTGTGAGTGGATTGGTGACTACATCAGCTAATTCTGCCAGGATGCATCTTACTGGTATTCTAGACTTTTGGATGTTCAGACTCTGCAGGTGGTCACACATCTGATCTTCCCTCGCAGCAGGAGGAACACTTCCTCCCCAGTCTGCTCCTATCTAACCAAATAATGTCTCCATATCTTAATTATGAGTTATATTTACAAGTTCAGAACAGGGCTTTTACTCTTGCTTTTCCAGGCCTTAAACCTGTATAAAATAAGTCTTTGAGTTTGATATGCTTCTTTGAGTGTACCAAAAGCAGTTGAGCATCAATGTACGAGGGT